AATCATCAAACGGCGTCGGTTTAGCACGAAACCTGGCACGCATGACCGCCTAGGCACGAGAGACTTGTGGGAGAAGACGGGGCTCGAATCGGGTTCCCGGTTTGGGTTTAGTCAAAATTATTTACTAAACTATCTTTCTAATTATATGGTAGTTAATTTTTTTATATTTTTCTGTAATTAAAATATTACCACCATTATATTGTTATTAATTATTTTTATTTTGTTTTTTTCAGATATTTCTTGAGTAGCAGTTTGCTTCGTGTGGAATGTGGGCGCGTAAAGATTATGACCAACTTCTGTTTTTGTAACTCATGAATGAATCAAGACGAAAACTTTTGGTTTTGATTTTGATTTATGTTATTTAAATTTGTGACCAACATTATGTATGTATTATGTGACCAACATTAGGAATTTTTATCATTTGCCAACTTTTGTTTATGTATGGATTTATATTATTATGTCATTTTTTGATTTTTTTTAAGCTATTTTTCATTTGCCAACATTAGTTATTTTATTTATGTATTTATATTATTATATCATTTGCCAACATTACAGGTTATTTTTATATTTTAAATAATTGTAAAAAAGGGATTTTTTTTTTGTAATTTTTTTTGAGACGGCAGAACACCCCGTCGCAAAAAAAAAAAAAAAAAAAGCTGTGCCAGGCTTTTTTGCGACGGTAGCCATACCGTCGCAAAAGGTGTGGAATTTATTTGAGAAACAAGGCTTTAGCGACGGTGAAATTGCCGTCGCCAATAGTCATAAACGCCACATTTTTTGCGGCGGCATTTTTTGCGACGGAATTTTGCCGTCGGCAAAATCTCATTAGCGACGGAAAGCTTGTGCCGTCGCAAAAAAGCCCAGATCTTCATCCACTATCGGCGACAGATATTTGCCGTCGCAAAAAAGAAATATTCCCGTCGCAAAAACAATGGCGAAGGTCTTTTGCAACCCCCCTTGTTGCGACCCCCACTTGCCGTCGCAAAAAAAAAAAATTTACCGTCGTAAATAGCTTTTGAGACGGCGTTTGGATTATTTGCGATGGCGTTTTGCCGTCGCAAAAAACAATATTTTTTGTAGTGCATGGCGTGGTCAGACCGAACTAACATGTCATGTCCGGTGTAACTCCAAGACCGGTCTAACTCCAAAGTACCGTTAGACCGATCTAACTTCGATCTTCTGTTGGACCGGATTAGCTTCACGGCTTTAGGACCGGACTAATCTCAAAATATCCACACGGCCGGAATAACTTACATGGCCATTTTATTCGGCCCTTTACCTAGCTCGGCCCAATTTTTACATAAATTAACCTCTCACAAATTATAAAACTCAATGTATTTTTTTTAAATCTCAAAATGATTAGCGTAATTTATCCTTATTAAAAAGTAAATTTATTTTTAAAAAAATATGTTTTTGTAAAAGATCAAAATAAAAAACAATAAATAAATAAAAAAATGGAGGAGATTATAAAATGTAGAAAAGTGATTATGTACCGTTTGTCTCATTCTCGACCAAAAGAATAAGTCCAACGACGAAAAGCAGCCAAGTTTGAGCCGGTCTATTCACAAAAAACACTACCGATAGACAGCATCCTCAGACTTCCCAAATTGATTGGGCCTCGCATAATCCGAGTGCTACCAACCACGATGTCGGGTCGAGCTCAAGATAGTTACTATGAGCTCTTTTCTTTGATTGGTTCCACTTAATTCAGTCAAATGAGAGACTTGGTCTTTGGGTAATTTAATTGGTATTTGTTTTATTTAATTCTGACGTGAAATTTTAAATATATAAACATAATAAAATGAATGAACAAAGGGTAATAATATTACACAAATTTTCCCATGAAATGGCATAACTTTTTGTGGACATTTGAATTTTTTCATTTTGTTGTGATGGACATTTTCAAATGACACATCGTGTCATCTTAATAATCATAATTTTTTTTAGAAAAATTATCCATCAGTGATAATTAAAAAGATTATTTTTTAAAAAATATAAATATTAATAATTAAAATTATAAATCTGCTCACTAATATGTAATAATTTTTGAAAACTCACCCTGAATGATAATTTTTTTAATTTTCTTCCTTGTTATATATCTTGCTCCGATAAGAAAATAAAAACGAGAAGAGATTTTCTTCTCTTAGACTGTTCTATTCCACTTTTAAGCATCGGCAACCAGTATATTATTTAATACATTTGTGCAGAAATATATTTTTATATAATTAAATTTATTAAATATTATAATTTTAAAATACTATTTTTGATTTTTTTTATCTATCTATTTCTTGTTTTAAATATTTTTAACTCTCATCAATTAATAATCATTGTTTATATCATATTATCTATGAGTTAATCATTGTCTCTCATATACCATATTATTTTTGATTCATTTGTATTATTTTTTCATATCTTTAACTCTCATGAATTAATAATCGTTATCTATATCATATTATCTATGAATCAATCATTATCTCTGATGCATCATATTATTTTTGAATCATTTGTATTATTTTTTCGTAATAATGAAAAATTACTTCAGGTATATCCCACTCCCCTTCATTATTCTATTCGTCCCATGACAAAATAAAGTGCAATTTTGTGTACTAAACTTATAATATGTTATGTGTAATCTATGATGGACATTTGATTCCAAACCCAAAAAATAAATGGTCACATAATTTCAAATATTCATTGACAAATCCTTCCGATGAAATTTTTATATATAAATTATAGTGCAATTTTTTTCATTTTTATTATAGTCAAATTGTACAAACGTAGGTAGAAGGCAAAGTCTTTACAAAATCAGATCAAAAAGTAAAGCCCACGCATAGTTTACATGTACCCGACCTCGTTCTAGTCTTTCCCCCTCCTCGTAATTATGAGAAAAATGAAGGGGTTTCTACTGTAAGATAACAACTATTGTATTCGGCCAATTAAATTCATCTCACGACTTGACAACATCTCCAACCCAATATCAAATGTTGGATTAAATTTGAAGTTGATAAAAAGTTCACCTTTTAATATTTTAATTTAACATTAAAAATTTTATCAAATTCAAAACTTCTCAAATCTTTTATTAAATTAAAAATAAGTATACCTTTTATTAAATTATTATTCATAGGCTTTAGAATTATATTGACCGATCAACTAGTCAGACATTTATCCAATCAACCAAGGTTTTGATGGAATTTAATTTTTTTATTAAAACACGTAATATTAAATAAAATCTTTATTCAAATTTAATGAAAAATAAATAAATGCTCTCACAAGTAGAACATACATAGAGACAGAGTATACAATACCATCGTATTCGTACCGATCGGTCCCATTTCTTAACCAACCTCCACACCGAATTTCAACAATGGCATAACTACAAAACCCGCCCACGCAGAAACTCACACCCCACACACAAACCCCTCCATTTGACCGGCGACCAAAGTCTCCATCGCTCTCTCTCTCTCTCTCTCTCTCTCTATATATATATATATGATTATATACAATGGCATCAACAGTGGATTTGCAGAAGAGTTCTGAAACTGTTGAAGAAGTGAATAAGAAGAAGAAGAATAGAGGATTATTGGATATGGAATCAGATAGGATTAGGAACCGAAAAGTGAGCGTTAAGAAGAAGAAGAGGAGTTCGTTTATGCCGAAATTCGGATGTTTCAGATCGGAGGATTACGGTGTTCCGACCATCGAGAGATCGGACGGTGACGGAAATTTCGATATGGAGTCGACTTCTGTCGGAGTTAATCGGTCGCCGACTCACCTTCTTGTTATGGTTAATGGAATCATTGGCAGGTTAGTTCGTCTTGTGATTAGATTTTTGATCATGACTGAGAATAACTTTAATGCGAGTTCTGGAATAGTGCCTTGGGAATACTGACGAAGATGTGTTTGGATTATAAACTTATCTTATTAGTTACTCCTTTATTCTCGTGATACACACGAACATATGAGAGTAACTGCTAAGCTTTTGACTGTCTTTGTACACATGTATTGGCGACCTCACCCAAGTTCATTTTTATTCTTATTCTTATTTTTATTTTTTTGAAATTTTTTGATACCCCTCCTGAATTTTTTAGAAACTATTGATGATATATTGAATTGTTAATCATCAATTTTTTTAAAAGCTTAAAAAGTTAAAGAGATAATTATGCTATCCAAATCCTCATATGTAGGCACGCTAAGTATCATAATTATCGGATAAACTGTGAGATTCGAACACAAGATCTATCAGCTACTCTACGAAACAATCTGTGTTACATTTCATCAAAGTCAACTCAATGATACAACTCTGTCCATGAGTTTAAGAAAATTGTAGTTAGCCAATCAGTAATTCAATTTGAGAATCGGACTATTGAGCTTACTGCTTTTTGCTTTTTATTTTAAATTTTGGTTATGTAAGATACTGTAGTTTAGCCACGTTTAAAACAATTATCTCGATGGCTTGCTCTGTCACCGAACCTCTTGGATTACTCTGTAGCTTGAATTTGGTAAAACCAAGCTGCTATTATATGGATATTTTATTTATTTTTTGTTATTGTTATTCCATGTGTGCAGTTCTCAAAATTGGAGATATGCTGCAAAACAGTTCTTGAAGAGGTATCCTCAAGATGTTCTTGTTCATTGTGAGTTTTATGATCCATCCACCTCCTTTCTTCCTCTGTCTATCTTTTTTACATTGGGTTGCACTTTATTTATCTCTGTCTTTATTTCTAAAAACTAGTTTCATGTTTTCGTCAACATTGTTTAATATTTTATTATTTCTACTTTGTTCCTCTCATCTTTCTTGAAGTATCAATAGTTGATTACTTGGTGGTGTGAGTTTGGTTTTCCTTGTTTCTTCTTTTATACTTTTGGAATTTGTTTTACAAAAAGAAGGATGTGAGGAAAATTGCACAATATGATAATTTCTTTTGGGGGCCAATTGGTGTTCCTCATGTTTAAGGAACGACTATGCTTTGCAAATAAATACTTGAAGCTAATTTCTTGACTGCATCAACTGGTCCCACCCAAAAAATGTGATCCTTTTGACCTTACTAAGATGCTGAAAATCTCCAAGTATTGTGTTCAATGACTTTAAGGAATGCAATATTAATGCAACCATAATAATATGAGGATTTGTTTTTTTCAAAAATGAATTACTTTAAAGAACAGAGGATTTTTGTGGCCAACCACACAGGCATTGTCGTACTTTTGAGGACTTAACCCACTAACTAAGAAGTAGAAAGAAAATGGAACCTTGATGTTTCTTAGCAATAAGTTGACAGAAACCTTTCTAATACTTCCGCAACCATGTTATTGCCACTCCATCATGCTCTTAAACTAGGCCCAGAGTGCGTCATCGGATAAAAGAAAGATTACAAGTCTGGAAGAACATCCACTACAGCTGTCAAAAAATAAGAACATTGGATCTTGGCCAAAACTCCTTCAGATATAACTGCATTTGCTTTCCATATTTTGTAGATCCCCTAAGCCATCTGAGAAAATTGTTGCAGTGTAAAACCCTAGAAGAGAAACTAAGACTTTCTATTCTTTGTATCAAATCATGACACCTGGCAATCTGGTTTCAGTAGCATTACCAATTGTAAGACCTCATATACTGGCCTAGAAATAGTTGTTGCTCAACTTTCCTTACACGTGCTATAGTTATAGATTTGTGGTTATGTTAACAAGTATACGTTTTTCTATCATCACCAATCAAATAACACTGATCATTATGCCAGGTCAACATGGATGTTTTAGATCACTGAAACATGATCCATGGAGGATCAGATAATTGAGAAGAGTTTGATCTCATTACAACTTACAAGTCCATTTTCTTGTTCCTTTTTTGTTTTTCTGTAAGAAAGGATTCACTTTTCCTGTTATTTCTACCTTTTGCACAGATGCTTGAAGAGCATGTTCCTTGTATCTGTGCTAAAGTGCATCTGGTTTATCGTATCAGAGTTCTTTGCACACTTTTGATACTCATTTGTGTCAATACCTTCTGTTACTAACGTGAATTGCATTTAACTAATGCTTTATGTCCAGGCAGCGAATGTAACTATTCAACGTTGACATTTGATGGTGTTGATGTAATGGGAAACAGATTAGCGGAGGAGGTGTGTAATAGATCCATCTTCAAGTACTCTACTTTTTGCTTCCATTTATGCATACTGTTAATTAGAGATTCATGTCAGATGTGGTTTCCATCGTTTGTTTAATTTGTAGTTCATTTTGTAAAATTTATTGCTTCTTTCAGGTGATATCTGTTATAAGACGGTATCCAGGCCTTCAAAAGATATCTTTTCTAAGTCACTCACTAGGTGGCCTTGTATCAAGATATGCTATTGCTAAGCTATATGAGGAATCTTCTCAAGAAAATGGAGAATATAGGACTGATGAATCTAAAGATCCATTCCCAGAAGATAAATTTAAAGGAAAAATTGCTGGACTGGAACCCATGAATTTTATAACCTCTGCAACGCCGCATCTTGGTTCAGGGGGGCATAAACAGGTTATTGATTTAGACTCTGCATGTCACATTCTTTTTTTTTTTTTCACATTATGTTTTCCCTTTCAGAAAGGAAAATGTTATACAATTAATCTTCTGGACACATCAGTGGGTTTAATTTTTTGGTCTGAATATCAATAATCGTTCAGAAATTGTGAGGGTCTTGAACTCAAAACTGTTTGTGGGCAGAAATGGAAAATTTCCCTTTTTTTTAGTGCAAAATATCTCGTACAAGAGATGCTTTGCATGGTAGAGACAACTCATCTTTCAAGAAACTTCATGAGAATAAGCCCCACGTAGTTCTTCATTAAACATTTCTAATCTTTCTGCAGAATGCTTTTACTGTCCAAAATTGATATGAATTTTTTGGCAAATTTTGTAAACATTTTACCTTCACATTTTTTTCCTTTTTATTTTGACGACATTAAACTTCTAAAATGTATTAATTAAAGTAAGATAGTAAATAATTACATCTAGAAAAAAAGGATATGGATTAAGCGATTAGGTGGCTATGATTTTCTCTCATTTTTGATGAATTCTTCAGGACATAGAACAGAGTGATACCTCATTTTGATCCTATAATTAACAGAAACAAATGGTTATGGCCTCCATTTCAATCTGTAATACTGAAGCTCTGTTTATGCCAGTGGACAAGATATGCTGAGTGCTGAGACCTTTGGTAGTGAAGGCCTCTTTTGGTCCCACGTCTCTGTACCAAATAGAGATTTTAATCAAGGCCTAAGCCTTATTTATATCATCATTGTTCTTCATTTATGTTGATCATTTTTTGTTGAGCACTAGTTTTTGCCTCTCTAATTTCTTTCTTCATCTTTAGCATCTTGTTTTTACTAATTTTACTTATTCAAAGTACTTTTGAATGCTAAAGAAGGTTATGTCATGTCACTAGGGGTTTCTGAATATATCACAAAGATCATGGGCTTATATAAAATGCTGGCATGCTCTATGTTTTTATGGTCCTTGTATCCTTAAATGAGTTTTATGGTTTTCAGACTCCTGCATTTTGTGGCTTTTATTCCCTGGAGAAAGCAGCCGCTCATGCATCATCATTGCTTGGAAGAACAGGGAAACATTTATTCTTGAGAGATGGTGATAATGAAAAACCTCCTATTTTACTTCAGATGGCCAACGACACAGATGATCTTCCATTTATGTGAGCCCTCGTGAATTTAATAGATTCTGATCAGAAGCCAAACAAATGTTTCTTTGTGACTGCAAATGATATAGAACCTATCTTGACTCCTTGTCTTGTCTCTGCAGATCTGCTCTACGGTCCTTTAGGCGTCGTGTTGCCTACGCTAATGCACGATATGATTGTATCCTGCCATACTACATACATTTGTTTATTATTATTTACTTTTTTATGTAGGAAAATATTTGGAGATAAAATGTCAGGACATTTAAACATATGCTCAAGCAATACATGAAAAACTAGTTAGGCTGTTCCAATTTTCTTCTTTTTGAAATCCTCTAACTTATGTGAAGAACTTAACACTTCTCTTAGATCTTGTTGGATGGAGTACATCATCACTGCGGCGTCGAAGTGAGCTCCCAAAGGTAATTCTTAATCTTTATGGAGCTTTAGAATTGTGTTTCCAAATTTTCTTACTTTTTTTTCTTTCTTTTTTTTCAGCGTCAAAATCTGTCAAGAATTTACAAATACCCGCATGTCGTAAATGTGGAGTTAGCAAAACCTATGAATACTCAAGAAGAAATGTCTTTAGAGGGCCAAGTCAATGTATGCAAGACCATTGATATGGAAGGTTAGTTACCAAATTTTTGTCATTGTTATTCATGTTCTACAGCACTAATCTTACAAGATTCAAGAACCATTACTTCCCATTAAAAAGCCAAGTTAAAAATTAAAATAGAAAGGGTTTTTCCTTCATTTTGAATGTAGATTTTGCTCGTATATTTAGTTTTTCTGGAATTGTGAAAGAGAGTAAAAAGTTACTGGCAATATTGTGAATCCCGCTCAACACCATGTTGTACTAGCTGGTGCATACCATTTTAACAGGAAACTGGAATAATGGAGACTCAACACAGTTCCAGTTAATTTTCTGGTTTGTACCGGATTATTTTAGGTGTACCGGGCTAGCTCAATTTCCCGGCATATAGACTGTTCTAGCATATACCAGTTAGTGAAAAGAATGAAAGAACTGAAAATGAATTTCAGCGTGAAACAAGGTTGAGCTTCGAACTAGCATGTCTTGGTTTAGTCAAAACTGGAAAAAAAAGAGACACACACACAAGCCTGATTTGTTATAGCAAGTGGAAAGAAAATGGAAAAGAGAAATTGAAGAGGTAATACTTGAAGTTCTAGAACAGTTATTTGGTGAAGAACTTTATACAAGTAAATGAAATTTTCATTATGCTCTTGAGGATTTGAAGTTTAATATGATTTCATTACCATCATTTCAGATTGTCCAATTATTCTGAACTCTATATGTAAGTAAAATATTTATTCTTGATTATTCCCTAATTTTCACACTCTTTTCCTCATTGCGTCCAATTGTAGAGGCAATGATCAGGGGTCTCACAAAAATGAGCTGGGAAAGGGTTGATATTGACTTCAGTGGAACTAAACAAAGACTTTTGGCGCACAGTACTATTCAGGCAAGTTTCTTCTTTCTCTTTAATTTAACTACAGAATCAAGGAAAAACATAATAACCTCAATGAGTAAAATGCGGTTTGGAGGTCAACCTCTTGAAATGGATTGGAACTCTCTAGTTTGAATTCTCCTCCAGATAAAAGAGGGTCGGCATAATCAGATTTCAGTCCATTTGGCAAAATAGGAGAGAAGTAAACAAAGAAATGATAGCAGTATTCTCTTCTTCTTGTTTGGATAGTATAAGCGTGAGATAAAAGAGAGAGAAAGTAGTTTATCATCTCTTCTTGTTTGGGAAAGATAGCAGTATCAACATTTCTAATGAGTGACCTTTTTCTTTTGTTCTGCTCGTGCAGGTAAAAACTTACCGTGTGAATTCCGCCGGAGCTGATGTGATACAACATACGATCGACAATTTTCTGTTATAGGTGTCACCAAATTACATTTATTTATGCATCGATTTATTTTATTTTATTTTTCAGTTTCTTCCATATGGAGATAATGTAAATATGCGCAAGCAATCCTTGAGCATTTCGTTCATTTTAGAACTCTAATTTTTAAAATTTCAGAAACAGTGGAGGGAGTAATTTTCCCTGTTTTAGAGTTATATGTAACTTTCGGCCTAACATGTTATTTTAGTAATTTTTTTATTTTTTGACAAAAATATAAGGTAAAAAAAATTATATTTGGAATGACTTGTTGACTTTTTACAGAAAAATACACAAAAAGTAGAGAGAAAAAAGAATATTTGACTTTTTTTTTTTTGGTATAAGTTGTTGATTTTTTTATCTTTTTAATGATTTTTTGATTTTTAAATTAAAAATATTGAGTTAAAAGTGCCAAGGTATAGTTTGAATTATAGTGCATTTGCGAAATATTTGATTGGTGGTGGTGCGCTTATAATTTCATTTCATGGATATTATTTTAGTGTAATTGGTATACTGGATGGTGTCCCGATTACTTTGACAACATGTGTGGAACCTAAATGTGGGCTCTACGTGTTGGCTCATTTGTTGTTAATATAATCGGAATATTGTCATTCCATAAATACTTGGGGGGATTTTATTTATACCAAAAAAATATTAAGTACATTTAGTTTTTCAATACATTTTATTAAATTATTTAGAGTTATAATGTACTTCCAGTATATTCTATGTTTTTTTTCACAAATTATTTTTAAGATACACCCAAATAATAAACAAATCAAAAATTTTAAATTACAATACTTTGAAAAACCCTTTCAAAAACCTTTAATATATGCATCAATATTTTGACACAGGATAACATGAGAGATAAATAATATATTCCAGCAAACGACCTAATTCTGAATTATACTGGATAATTGAACTTCGTAGCATGGATTCTTCGTTCTCATGCTTGCATATCATTGGATTGCCAGAACCACTCAAAGGCGAAACAGCCACAACCATTTTCCTTGATAAGTAAGGGTCTGCCATGTCATCATCATCGTCGAGCAGTTGTTCAAGTTCATCCCTTACCTGGAAATTATCATTCTTTTTAGACGATAGAGAGTGGATTAGTTGAAAATTTTAGGAAATATTAATGGGTTGGCTCAAATTTTTTGTCTAGGATCTCGTGTCATTACCTGGACAAAGGAAAACTCACCAGAAGATTAAATTTTATTAATGAAAACTTGTAGTTTCAGTAGTAGATGAAGAATAGGTAAAAGTAATTTGAATATATTATGAAAAAATGAAAAAAAAAAAAATCAATTTAAAATATTGTCATTATTAATTTATTAATAAATTTATATTAAAATATAATAAAAATAAAAATTTTAAAATTTTAATTAAACATATTGAACTATTATTTGGCTACATTTCAATCACCAAAATAGTGAAATATTTACCTCCTAGATCACGTGCATACTTAGCCCAACTTGTGGCTTGGCAATAAACAGTCTGGTTGTGACAATAAAAGGCCAGCCTGGCTGCACTGTGCAAGCCCAGTTTGTACAAGTTTTCCGAAAATTAGAGAAAATATATTCTGAAATGATGAAAAAATAATTACAATAGGTACAGAAAAGATGTAAAATAGTAACAAAAGAGGACTGTTATTAGCACCTATTTAATTTCTTTGGATCTTCTAATTCATACTTTTTTTTATTATAATTACACTCTAAAGTAAAATTATATTAAAGGACAATTTTTTACTAGAACACACATCCACCAAACAAAGACAACTCTACAATATTGTACATTCACCTCTCCTACCTAAACGTATTCATCACTCACTCAAGCCCAACGTATTTCTCTTCATCAACGTTTCTTTTTATCACTATTCTTAAACACAACGTTTCTCTACATCACCATCATAAATCCAATATATTTCTCTTCATAACCATCATAAATCCTAAACACAGTGTTAAAAAAATTGTTTATATTTGGCACACAGTGCTAAAAATATTATTTATAATTGGCAACACAATACTGAACAAATAATTTATGTTTGACAATACAATATTAACAAAATTATTTATGTTGGGACAACACAATACTGAATCAACCCACTAAACCAACTAATACCATAATTCTAACCCCTTCCCCCTCCCCAAAAGAAAATAAAAAGAAAGAAACAAATAAAAGGAAATAGTTCGTTTTTAAAGAAGGAAAATTTGGGATACATCACTTTTATGCTGCGTTTGGTTAGGGGATTTGGAGAGGGATTTGGAAAGGGAAAGGAAAAAGATGTGTAAAATTAGGTGAAATATATGCATATTTTATTCACATTTCACCTACATTTTCTATTTTCCTTTTCAAATTTCTCCCCAAATCCTTCAACCAAACACAATATTAGAGATTGAAAAATGAAGAATTGAAATTTGGATAGGAAGAGGCAGAAGAAGAAAATAATAGAATGCCTTAGGGATGGGATGGGATACTCATAAATAAAAAATAAATAAATGAAGGATGGAATAGGATGGGATGGGGTTGGTTATGGGTGGGGGAGAAGAGAGAGAGAAAGAGGTCGATCGGTGAGGACTTGTCAGTGATCAAGCTTCTTTGCGGTGGTTGAGTTCTCGAATGCATCATGTAATTTGAGAGTCAATTTCATAATTCATAAAATTAAATAACTAAAATGCTACTATACATGCATGTATATGTATATTTGGGTATGTTTGCGGTGTGGTGTGAGATGGCGTGGAATGGACGGTCTTTAACCATGATGGAGAGGATGTATAAAATTAGATAGATAGATATATTGATGTGATGATATTATAAATTTGGTATTAAAAGAAATCTTATTAAAATTTAAGATTTAGGATGGAGATTCAAAGAGTTAAAGTATTTGTTAATAACAATCCTCTTACAAAATTATGAAAATATTGTGAAATTATCAAAATATCCTTCCATAACCTACTTCTTTTGACATGACTTTCTTTATTTATTGTTGTGTTTGGTTAGAAAATTTGAAAAAAAAAATTAAAAAAAATAAAATATAAATAAAAAATATATATATATTATATTTCATCTAATTTTATATAACTAGTGTATGCACGTGCCTAAAGGCACGGTGTAAATAATATTAAGATCGAAATATATTTGTAATTTATATACGTATCATATTAAAACACTACAACAAAAAGCAATTTTGGCGACCAAAAATGTAAATTTCGTCGCTGAAAGTAGGACAATTGGCGACTAAAATTGAATTAGTAGCCAAAAGTGAAAACAGTTTAGTAGCCACATGTGTACTTATTGGCGACTAAAAATCAGATTAGTCGCTGATTACATGGGTTTTAGCGACTAAAACAATTTTAGTAGCCAAAGGTGAAGGTTTTTGGCAACTAAAAAAGATTACTAGGCAAAAGTATAGGCTTTGGCGACTAAAAAATGGTTTGGTCGCCGATTGTAGGCGTTTTACCGACAAAAAAAAATGTTGTAGCCAAATGTAAAGGTTTTTGGCTACTAAAAAATTTTCAGTAGCTAAAAGTGGATAATTGGCGACTAAAATTGAGTTTAGTCGGCAAAAGTGGCGTTTTTGGCGACCAAAAATCAGTTTAGTCGCCGAAAGTGGTTATTTTTAGACAAAAATTTATTTTTTTAGCGACTAAATTATTGGTAGTAGCTAAAACTAAGGTTTTTGGCGACTAAAAAAAAACTTTAGTCGCCAAAAGTGGCTCCCTTTTGTTTAATAATTAATTTATTTTTTACATAAATTAATATTGAATAAAAATAATTATATTTATATATATAGCTTTAAATTAATACGGGTCAATATACTATATAAATAATATTTATTGCATATATATTCATGTGATCTTGTGGTGGTATAGTGGAGGGAGTGTGTTGGTAAAGGTGTACAAAGTAGAAGGTCTGTGCTTCGAATCTTAGAAAAAGCAAAAAAGTTGGTCATTTATTTTTTTTTCACGGAAGCACCTTTTGTGACTGAAATTATTAGTCGCCAAAAGTCTTTATTTTGGCGACTAAATGGATTAGTCGGCGATTCAGTGAGTATTGGCGACTAAAGGATTAGTCGCTAAATGTATGATTTTGAAAAGTGTAAATCACTATTGGCGACTAAAATGTTGGTCGCGAAAGAGCTGCTTTTTGGCAACTAAAAAAGTTTTAGTCGCCAATACCTTTGCCAACCATCTATACGCGACAAAACCAGCGACTAAAAAAATTAGTCAGGGAAAGTAAAAAGTCGGCTTTTGGCGACTAAAAACGGACTTTTGGCGACTAAAAATTTAGACGCCAAAGGTGCTTTTTCTTGTAGTGAAACATGTGGAGTTGGTAACATTTTTTCTTCTTAACGAACTTTTAATAATTTTGCTTATACCATAGCCTCTACAAAATTCAATTAAAAATAACAACTCTCCCTAGTCTTAATGCAAATTAAGGAATAAACATATAAAATTTATAATGTTCATTAAAATTAAAATGGTAAACTAATGTTCTGCAATTATAATAAAATAAAATTAACCAAACAATACACACCAATTCATGAGTAGTGAAAACTAAATGACATAATGTGGAAACAAAATTAGAACAAAAATAAATAAATAAATAAAAATAAAAAATACACATACAACAGAATTAGGTCAAATTTTTATTTTTGATAGTTATTTTGATGTTAAAAAACAAATTCACTCTAGTTTTTGGATGTATGTATGGTCGACCATACTATTAAGAGAGTAGTTTTTGGATGTAGAAATGGCAGAGACTATTAAGAAAAAAAATTTATGCTCTATACTAAATAATTTTGTCGACCATACATACATTGTATGGAAATAAAATTTGTAGATATTGAATCAAATCTGTCGAGCATAACTAAATTATGAAAACAAAATAATTTTGTTCTAAATGATGAAAACAATTTTGTTCAATGATAAAAATATAAAAGTTTCTGAGTTAAGCTCTCAATTTGGGCCCATGAAAGTGGTGGCCCTTTAAACATCATGGAAGCAAGCCATATGACATAATTGTATGTGCATAACAACTAATTATTTGAGATGTTCCTTGAAGGTATCAACACAAAAATACACCCATAGCAGCTCACTTCAGTCACGGTATTAACTGGAAAGGTGTAATTTGATTTGTAGGGTTTACTACTAGTTTCAATTTGATAAAATATGACATAATTGTATATGCATAATAATCAATTATTTGAGATGTTCCTTCAAGGTAACAACACAAAATTACACCCATAGCAGCTCACTTCAGTCCTGGTATTAACTGGAAAGGCGTAATTTGATTCGTAAGGTTTATCACTGGTTTGAATTTGATAAAATAAGCTAGTTAATTTCATCATGTTTATCGTTAAGAAATGAAGAGTCTATTATAAAATTATGCTTATCATTTATTTATTTTTAAAACAAATATGATAAAAATCATATAATTACAAACCTTTGCTACTCTGATAAGTTATTAGTGGGTCAGTGGATAATGAAAAAGTTCAAAGCATGCAATTTAACATGATGTTAGAGGGCCACTATGAAGAGGTTCCCTGATTATTTTCTTTACTGTTTAAGTGGGGAGGGCTGGAAATGCGTGAAATGGTAATGTAAAATGTGACTTTTCATGGGTATCCAAAAATCTCCACATAATTGCTCCACTTCTAAGTTGATGCTCACTTAGCAAGAATTACATTTGGATTAGGCTAATAACACAGACACAAACAGACTTACTTGGAATTCACACTTCGGAAGGACTGTTGATGAGCAAACTGCCAAATTTATCCATCACAGATGCAAATAGAAGACAACAAAATGAAATTGTTATTTGAAGTTCATTCCACCGGATCAAAAGGACAACATTTAAACTTACACACTCATGTGGCAAAATAAAAAAGAGGCTATTTGCTGCCTTACCAGTATATTTGGATCAATCTGAGCACCAACTATATCCCTTTTAGAGGATCGATCACCTTCGCTAGCAGATCCCTTTGTGAACAAAATATTGCCTGAATCAGTAATGAACAAAAAATTACAACTTATTGCCTGAATCAGTAATGAACAAAATAAGGAACAACAGTAATTCTGGCAAGAAATTAGCTCAAATACCTCCAACTGAGAAACCACAATTATTTCCCAAAATCAACGGGGCAAAATAGAAAAGAAAAAAAAAATGATGTCAGTTTAAATTCATAATGATTATGCAAAGTAACAGAAAATCAGATAAGAATATAAGCTAAACATTGGTTCAATTGTAGAGATTTAGTCATTGCCAGGACTAGTAGTATATTAATCATTTCGAGAAATTCAATTGATGCCTATCACGCTATTCTACCTCACTTTTGGCCACTAATCTTTACAGCGAGCATTTTTTATTTTTTTTTTGTACAATGATCATCTTCATCTAGGGTGGGAAATTGATAATTAATCACTGCATAACACGATGGTTGAATTCAAAGTGAATAAAGATTTTTCTTTTTGTTGTTTTTTAAACACATTTTCAACAACTGGATGGTGGACCAAAGTTCAAATTTTCCAGAACTAAATTAGACTCGTGAAAATGGAAAAACACACTACCTGTTCTCACTCAATTTCCAAAAGTACTACATACCCTTTTGCCTCAATACAGGCAATTCATGGAAACGACTTGCAGTTACTTCTAAATTTCTAACCAATTGAATCAAGGTTGCACAGCCATATAATCAAACAAAAACACAATATAATTTTTTTTTAAAAAAAAAATCTCAAAAAAGAAATGACATTTCAATAAATGAAGATTACTCGTTTAGGAAAAACCTAAAAAAATAAAAATAAATAAAAAGAAGAAAGAGATTCCAAACAAAACAGTATAAGATAGTTTACCAACAATTAATCACAAAGCAAGAAAATTTCCATATATATCTCAGGAAATTTGAAAGAACCAACTATAAATACAAAAAGTCTTACTTCGTCGTTACAAAATTCCCCAAAATTTCTTTGTCCTCGATTCTCTTTCACACGAAGACTGGTTTCTTTGTCGCCTTAATTTCCCGCGACTTCAATTTTTGAATCATCAGCAAAATTCGCAGCTACTTATTCGCGTTCCAAAACCCTCCTACGAAAATCCAAAATCAAATTCGTTCTCTGCATCAGAATTCACCATTCATCTTAATAAGTTCACGTTGAATCTCGAGCCGAATCCATCGTATACCACATTCGAACCATCAAAACCCTCATTTTTCCAGATTTCCCCCCTTCGAAATCAGTCGAGTAAAAGCCCTAATTTTCACCAGATTTCGGGAATTGTATCAAAAAATATCTCAGATAATGACTGCCTCGTTAGATCCATAGGATTGATTATTTATATATAATATAATGACTGCCTCGTTAGATCCGTTACAAATACGCTAGAATTTCTACAACTTCATTTCCTTGGCATCCTAAGCGATCTTGCTGTTGGAAGGCAACGACTTCTTTATGATCCGACTGATGTTGGCGATAGGTAGGTAGCGGTCCTGATTGCGAACGTCAGAGTGAGGGAAAGTGGTAACGGAGAGCTCCAATCGGGGTTGCGAATCGGAGAGGTCCAAGGCAGCGAGTGGGAGGGTTGCGAATTCAAGCCACTGAGAGAGGAGGGGGGAGAAGGAGAGAGGTAGCGTGCAACAGAGAGGGAGAGAGAAAAAGATGGAATGGGTAGAGACGTGGGTAAGTGGGAGAGGGAGAGAGCACCGAGTGTTTGTGCGGGAATCAAACAAATCTCAACCATTGATATTTATTAAAATGGATCTAAATCATAGGATCAAAATGTATCTCACATACATTTTAAGACATTTTCAAAAATGCTCTTAGCTTATTATATAGATTTCTTTTATTTATCAACTGCGATTGAGAGCCCGAATCGAGCTCCCCCGAATGCCCCGAAACGACGAAAAGACGTCGTTTCGTCGTTTTTTTTTTTTTTTTTGCAATCAGAAGTTCAGAAGAAGACGAAAGAAAGAAGGAGAGAAGAAGAAAGAAGAAGAAAGAGAGGAGAGGCAAAGGCAGAGGCAGGGGCGGGGGGGCAGAGGCAGATGCAGGGGCAAAATGCAGGGGGAAGAGGCAGAGGGCGGGCAGAGGCGGCGAAGCAGAGGCGGAGGCGGCGATGGAGGCGGGCCTGCGACGATCGGGCAGAGGCGACGGCCGGCGGAGGGCGACGGCGGAGGCGGGGCTCGACGATCGGGCAGAGGCGACGGCGGGCAGAGGCGGCGAAGCAGAGGCAGGGGGCGGCCGGCTGCGAGCCTCCTCTCTCTCTCTCTCGGGGCATTCGGGGCACAAATTTTTTCGAGGCACAAATCTTTTCTCTTTATTTATTTATAAACCTCGTCCTAAATTTCTCAATCAAGATTACTGATTTTCAAATCTCCAACATCACTATTACTGATACTGAATCATTACGTAACAAAGAGTTTGCGTGGAAGGTCAAACATTTCTCCAAATTTTCTCATGCCACGGTATTCGTGAATGAATTTGGAGGGTTTCCAAACATGAGTCTACTAACCTCAACAGTGCCATAGTCTAGAATTTATGTACCTACCCTAAAATAATACTACTACTGTAACATCAACAACAACACTGTATATATACGTACATGCAACAGGAAGAGAGAAGATTTTTGGCGTGTTTAATAAGTCGAAAATCAAAAAGAATGCATAGACCCCCATCCAAATCCAAGCACACAAGACGAGAGAGAGAGAGACACACACACACATACACACACCTGTGGATGATGGACAAAATGATTGAAAATGAAACAAGAGCAAAACCCATAACCTAATCAACCACACGTCTCCATCCTCCGCTGTTAAGAGTGTCTGCGTGTGAGTATATGTCTGAAAATCTACGTTCTGTGTTTTTTTTTTTCTTTTTCTTTTTTTTTTTTTGGGCCGATTTTGGAGATGCTGATTTTGTTCCATTTCTTGTATTTCTTGTGGTATATATCTAGCAAAGTGAACAGTGTGGGTTTTGTCTGTGTTTTGCCTTTTGAGTTGGTATGTACAGTAATTGTAAAGCTGTATATATCAATCCTTGGTTTTTTGTTGGCTCTACAAACGAGGCCCGAGAGGCATATCCTTTTCTGGGTCACTGTTATCTTTCTTTCTCTTCAAAACCCTACTACCAATCTTTTTGCCTTCCTCCACTTCTATATATATTGCTATTTAACTCAATTATTGAAGGTCTCTTAGTTAGCACACTCTGTGGATGACCCTTTTTCATCTGACTCTCTCTCTCTCTCTCTCCCTCAAAAGGGACCATCATATATCTCATATTTTCTTTCTGGTTTTTTTCTATCTGAGAATTCAGAAATGGGTGGCATTCAAAATTGTGCATGTTGCCTCAGAAATCGACAGCTAATCATTCCCTTGATCTTCCTATTGATTTCCAACTTTTCCAACTACAGATTCATGGTTGAAGGTTAGTGGGTGTGTGTGGGTTCATCATCAATTTTTCTACACATTGGACAATATTTATGCGCAAATATACAGATAATTAATTTTAATTTTCCTTCCTCGCAATCATGTACTGCAGGTAGAGCAATTTCCAACCTGGTTGGCTCCGTTTCAAAGCTGACACACTATCCTCCGGTATGGTGCCTTATCTTTTCACTTCTCTGTTTAAAGTAAAAAATTCAGTAAGTTTGGTGCAACTTCTTGCAATTGCAATTTGATAATAAAAAAGCAAAAACAAATAACACTTTTTCCTCAATTTTTTAATAATTAATCTGTTTTTAAATTATAAGTGTGGAATGCAGAAATATTCTGCATAAGGAATGCAAGATAAGATGCTCCTTCTTGTACTCTGTAAAAAGAAACCAACTAGTCGGTGATTACTCTCGATCAGGAATGGTTGGGAGGATCCTCCAACGATCTAAGTCAGAAATATGATTGGTCATATAATGTTTGGTTAGGAAAAAAGATTTTCTTCTCCCCTCTATTACTATTCTTCCTTTTATAGTATTATTGTCCTGGTCTTAGTCGGTGGATTAACATCTTCATCTAAGAGCTCTGGTTATTACCAGACTATGGTCGGACAAGTGGTCAGGTTGCTTTGATCCTTTGCCGTTATTATGAATGAATTCAAAGGTATTCTTTCATTTTGCATAACTCCTTTTACAAAGTGATTTTGCTCAAGTTTTGGTCACGTGACACTATCCCTTCTTTTGACGGACCTATCAATGATTTGAGTTTTTCTCTTGATTTGGTTGCTTAGCTGGACTTTGGCTTTGAGCCAATATCTTTGGACTTTAGGTCAATATTTTTACCCCTCCATAATAATAAGGTTAAGTTTGACATATTATAAAAAAAAGTTAAAAAGTTATTTAAAAAGTTAATACTATTTATTAAAAGTCAACAATTACGGCTGTACAACTTTCAATCTTAATTTTTTTCTATAAATTAATTTTTACAATTTTTTATTACACATTTTTTCATAAAAAGTCAAAAAGTTAATCCAAACATCTATATTTTCTTCCTTAATTTTTTAGTCTAAAAAGATAAAAAGTACACTTATTTAGGACACCCCAAACAACTCCTAAGTAAAACTTATATCAAACACTTAAAACTACATCATTCTCTCAAAAAAGATAAAATTTTCGAACTATGATTTGAAAATCAACTTTCGAACCAAAAATGAATCATAAGTTTTTGTTTAAAAATTGATTTCTGAACGACATATTTTTGTTTAAAAATTAATATTCGAATGAAATAAATGTAGGCAAGGAAATAAGGTGTGAAAATAGAAACTCTCTGGAGTCCTCAAAATAAGATAAAATAACTATAAACAGTTGTTAACTTGGTATAAACTGCACCATTATTGTATATTATTTTGCAACTTAGGCTTCAAGCTTGAAAAATAGAAGCAGTATCTTTGGAGTAATTAATAACATAAGTCTCGTGCACTGAATTATTCTTTGTATGTCTTTGTTGATATATACATTTAATTATTTATGTATATGTGTATAAGGGGAGGGAGGTGGAGGAGGTGGTGGTGATAGCAGTAGCGGTGGCGGCAAGGAGAAGGTTGATAGGGTCGAGGCCGCCAAGATGCGAGAGGAGGTGCAGCTCTTGTGGGCATTGTGAGGCAATTCAAGTCCCAATTGCCCCAAAACTCAAAAAAAACCGTGTTGCATCATCAAGAGCTGATGACATTTCCAACTACAAGCCCATTTGTTGGATGTGTAAATGTGGTGACTTCATTTTCAATCCATAATTTTATTTATAAATTAAAAAAAAATGTAGTTCTCAAGTTTGTGCGTAAAGATTGAGTTTTTCTATTTTGTTATTTCTGTTTTTGTGGATATGTCATATGTAAATTAATTTATGTATCCTTTCAAAAGTACATATATAGAGGGTGTTTGGGAAGTGAATTTTTTTGTAGATTTTTTTAGTTGTAGAATATAATTGAAGAAATTTTTTTTTTGTGTTTGAAAAGATAGTTGGATTTTTTGTGTTTGGATGTAATGTTTGTAAGAGAAAAGGTGAAATGATTATAAGATTTGATGTTATATTTTTTTTAGATTTATTTTTTTTGGTTTTATAAAACATTTATCTTGTAGTGAAAAAAATAAAAATAAAAATCTAAAAATAAGTTCCCAAACACTCCCATAGGTTTGTTGAATTTTATAAATATATATTGAATATTAGAATGACATTGACATAACATAGTATTTACCATTATATTCTGCCTCCGTTTGGAAAGTGGGTTGACTTTTTGATTTTTTTGACTATTTTAACTTGGGCTAAAAGAGAAAAGTTAGGGATCATGAAAATTTTTTCATGAAAATGATTATGAAAAATTTATGATTCTTGGATTATCTTGATTAATGTGTTGTACTTTATCCTAAGTGTAATCTAAAGGTTACAAAACTTTCATGGTTATTTTCATGAAAGATTTTTCTTGATACTTAGCATTGCTGGGGCTAAAAAGCTTGGTTTGGGAAGGATTTTATGGCTTTTTGATTTTTTTGACTTTTTTTGTGAGAGAAGAATGTAATAATTATGGGTTGAATGTGATATTTTGTTTGTTGTAACTAAAATAGTTAAAAAATTGCCAAACGGAGTCGATGTCATATTTCCTTCTTTGCTCACCATTTATTCTAAAACTTTTGTAGTATGGCGTTTTGTTGTTTTTTTTTATTTTTTTTCAGAAAAACACAAAATTGTTTAATGAATTATTTTAGCTAATTTTTTTTGAGAAAACATTAAAAAAAAAAACATTTATTTTGGAAAACTATGTTTGCGCAAAATAAAAATAATATGAAATCTAGAGTGGTTTTAAAATTTTCATTATTGTTATTAAAATAAAAACACAAACTGATGTTCATTAAACGTGTATAACTTTTCAAAAAATTATCAGATAGCCTTTGATACGTTGGCTTTATTTGAGAAGTGGGTGGAATTTTTTAACTTTTCAATTTTTAGCATTTTGGGTTGATTTTTGATTTTTATATAAAAAAAAATGATTATAATTTAAATATAATATTTTATTTTATTAAATTTTAATTTTTTTTGGAGTTAATTTAATTAAAAAAAAAATTTACTTGCCGAACGAGGACATTTTGGCGACCAAAAAAAAAAATCGTCGTATATTGAGTTTTACTTAGGACATTGTTTATATGATGTCAATAAATAAGCAACTTTAAAATACATTGGTGAGTCATTTCTTTTCTATACGTAACAAAGTTAGATTAACATTTATTTATCCGAATTCCACGATGTTTGTAATAAAAATAAAAAAATATTTGATAATTCAAAATTTTGTAACTCATATAACTTAAATTTGTCAAAACAACGTCGTTTTACGTTTATTTACACTCAAAATGACATCGTTTGGAGTGATTTGAGTCATTTGACTTAAAATTTTTTGAACTACCTAACATTATTGATAAAAATATTAGGCGCATTATAGCTTGTTTTGACAAGTTAATAAAAAGTAATTTTTTTTGATTTTTTAAGTTATATTTTCCTTCTATTTTTTTTTGATATATTTTTTTAAAAAATGAAAAAAATAATTTTAACTTATTTCTCAAAACAATATATATATATATATATATATATATATATATAAAATCACATAGTTCATATATATTGATACATTTTTTTAGAAAAATATATATATAATCAACTTCGACATAATACCGGTGAATAAATTACACAATATCGATGACTACACAAACCGACGAAGAGACTACGGTTTATTATAACAAGGCAAAAAACAATTGGTCATAAAATAGTCACAAAAAACAAAATAGGATTTTTAGCTCAATAAGATAAAACATCACATTCAACTTATAATTATTTTTTTTTTCAAAAAAAATAAAAAAAGCTAAAAAAACCAAAAGGTCTTTTCAAATCTAGTTTTTTAGTCACAGGTTAAAATAGTCAAATAAAATAAAAAAATAAAAAAGCCAACTCACTTTTCAAACGAACTCTAAATTGTATATAGACAAGTGAAAATTGAACAAAATAATTGTAAAAAATGAAGAGCAATGCCAGGTATCGTGAAATTTTTTTTATAAAAATGATCATGAAAGATTTATAACATTTGGATTACACTTAAAATAAAGCACCATACACTAATCAAGGTAATTCAAGAATTATAAATCTTTTATGATTATTTTCATAAATTTTTTTTCATAATCCCTAACTTTTCTCAAAAATGAATATCCACTCCTTTAAATTAACAGTTAATTAAGACTCGAGGTTGTTGCAGTCGGTAATTATCATGTAGTTATTAATTTTGTGCTGCTACCCTCATTGAAAGTCACGTTGAAAATGTGCGCATTAATAATTATTGCAAGAGCCGCAAGTAATTTTTAAATTAAGGTCTTGTTTGCTTATTTTAAAAAAAAGATAAAAAGTTAAAAAGTCACTATTTTGTTTAAGGTCAAGTTTGACATATTGTAAAAAAGTTAAAAAGTCAAAAAATCACTCAAAAAGTTAAAAAGTTAACACTATTCACCAAAAGTCAACAATTACGGCTGCACAACTCCCAATCCTAAATTTTTTCTACAAATTATTTTTTACAATTTTTTATTATACATTTTTTCATAAAAAGTCAAAAAGTTAACCCAAACATTCATATTTTCTTCCTCAATTTTTTAGTCCAAAAAGACAAAAAGTGCACTTATTTAGGACACCTCAAACAACCCAAGTCTCATCATTTTATTTAAGTCACATCACTTTTTTATTATATCATTTCAAATCCAATCTATATTTCATAAAATGTCAAAAAGTGCACTTATTTAGAACATTTCAAACTACCCCTAAGGTAATATCTGAGAAAATTATTATTATTTTAATATTAGTTTATTTTTTTATCTTTTTTTTTTTAGGCCACATCAATTAATATTTTTTCTCTATTTTTTTAAACATCTTTTTATAAAAAATCAAAAAATATATTTATTTAGAACATTCCAAACCACTCCTGATAAGTGTTTGGGATAAACTAAAAAAGTGTACTTTTTTTTGTCTGTATATACTTATTTGAGTCACATCAATCAATATCTATCAATATCTCATCTTTACTTTTCTAACCGCTTTTTCTATTTTTATACACATTTTTTTTATAAAAAGTTAAAAAATACACTTTATTTCAAAGATTTCAAACCATCCCTTGATTTTTTTAATGAAAATTAATTTAAAATTTTCAAACAAATTGAAAACTACTTTTGTTGGTAATTTTTACCCATCTTTAATATGGACAAAAAAATGGTGCATTTTAATTATTTTTACCCACCTTTAAACCATTTGTTATGGTGCAGTAATTATATGGGTAAAAATGGTGCAGTTTAATTAGTAATTTCGTATATTAGTTTTTTAGTTAAAATAATTAATAAAGACAAAATAAATTAAGATAATTAATAAGATAAAATATCACATTTAAGTCATAATTATTTTATTTTTTTTTCTCACAATTTTAAATCAATTAAAAATAAACAATCTTCTTAAATATAATTATTTTAACTAAATTAAAAATTAAATAACTAATTAAAATAGTTAAATTTTCAAATCAGGACTTTTGCTTTTTATTATTTTTAGAAAGAATAATGACTTGGACCCATTTTTTTTTCCACTCCCTTATCCCTTCTTCACTTGATTGGCTACTTTTTTTATTTTTATTTTTTATTCCTTCTCCTCCAATCACCACCCGTCACGTGTCTGTGAGGAGGGGGTTTGTGTGGTGGGAGTGGTGATTGGAGGAGGTCTCAATCATCACCTTTTTAGAAAAATGCTATAAACCCTCAAAATCTATCAAATTTTTTTTCAAATCTTATATAAATATGAGACTTATACAAAAGTATGTGGGTAGGTCTTATATTTATGTAAGAGATTTGATAAATTATTTAAATTTTTTAACCATATTGAATATTGAACAGTGGTTGGATCCGCTATTAAATTCGAGTATATGACGGGAAATGTGACCACATTCGGCAAAGTCTCTGTAATTAATATATGACAGAGAAAGAGAGAGAGAGAGAAGCAGGTGGATACCAGAGCGGAGCAGTTCTGATTTCGTATCTAACAAGATTTGCGTGTGCAATCAGAATCCACTCCTCGAATCTATAAACCAACAAACACCACACCAATCTATAAATTATTTTGTTATCGTGGTGGAGCATTGTTTTACATCAGTTATTATTTTGGTCAGATTTGTTAGAGGATTAAATTAGATACAACTGTTAATAAAGAGATGATTAAAGAAAAGATTATTAATATAAAAATTATTAATGAAAAAATTAAATAAAAATATATTTATTTTTGATAATAATGTAAGAAATGATTGGTGATAGAATTGATAAATTATTTTTAGGAAAAATCGGTCTAGGGTCCCTCTCCCACTTTTCGTAATGGAAGAGGTCCACAAAATTATATTATGATGTCTAAGGTCCCTACAGAGAAATTTCATATCCCTCACCCTTCAAACCTCCATAAACCAATTCGATGATTTGTCTCTCCATTCTAGAGAGAGAATCTAGAGAGAGAGAGCGCCATAGTTGCATTGCAGATCTGTTGAACAGACATGGAGGCTGCCTACTTCAATGATTCTCAACGTGAGGCAGCAAACGATGATGGTGTAATTGCTGGACTCAATGTAATGCGTATCATCAATGAACCCACTGCCGCTCCTTCTTGGCAGCCTCTCGAATCAGATTATCGAAGAAATCTTCGATTGTTATAAGATATATTCACCCCCACATGTATTGACTTTGCCCAACTCCAGTATGGCGTCCCAGAAGTCCATCATCCACCGAACCTCATTTTAGAGAGCTACGAATCTCTCACTCCTCCACCACTATAAACGAGATTGAAAAACATTTTAGAGACAAACCGAGAACAAGACAGAGTCTCTATATACAAACCCATGCCAATTTTAGACCCTTGGCCTCATTTTTAGCAAACTCATTTCCTATAAACAAGAAAGGGACAAATTGAGAG